TTTCTACCACACAGACATCTTCTATGTCCTCCCGTATCTTCTTAGTTGATTTACAACAGCCTTCACTTTTGAAAAATAATCCGAAATGCATTCGGATTCTTTCATTTTTAAAGCTTCAAAATCAGCCCTTAGAGTTTGAAGTTTTACCTTTTTCACCTTGTCAACTCCTTGAAGAGAATTTTGTAAAATCCTCCAAGCTTCTTTTGAGGTGGTAGCATCTGCCACCTTCTCAAATATGGCATCATCCAAACATTGGTGGATGAGCGTGAAGGCTTGTTGATCCTTCTTCCTTGTCTTTGCCAAGACTTCTTTTTCAGTTTGAGGCAGAACTTCCTCATTATCTGGTTTTGCATACCCTCTGTCTACAATTTCCCACACATCCTGGGAGCCAAGAATGACTTTCATACGTAGACACCATTTCTCATAATTATCTTTTGTGAGACGGGGGTACTGGAAAGATAGCGGACCATTATTTGCCATGGCTCTGATACCACGTTGTTGGGATAAAATAAATAATCCCGCCCAGGAATAATATCCACAGCAAATAATAATAACACAAGAGAGTAACAATGACACCAAATATTTTAGCGGAGTAAAATAAAATACCCGAGTGGAGCAATATTATCACTATAATATTGGAACTTAGTAGTGTCAAGAAACTACTACAACTTTGAAAGAAATAACACTCTTTATTTAACACACTTCACTACAATATTACTACCACTCACTAATTATCTCACAGACAATAATCTATGGATTATTCTCACTAACTATATGTTGCTTCTCTCTTTATTTTGGTGTGTTTTTAACCGAAACAAAGCGCCCTTTTATAGGCAAAGTTGTAACCAAATCAGCCGCCCAACTTGAAAATTTTTTCATTCAAATCAGCCGCCCATGTTTTTTTTCCAGCAACCCATTAAATTTTCAAAGCCACCCAATTTGACTTCTTTTTCATCTTTTTCAATGTTTCACTTTTTTTTTTGGGTCCTACATCTTGGACATCTCCAGTGTAGGCTAGTAAATGTCTCCTCTTTGGTTACTGCCAGCCTCACTTTTGAAATTACATGTATCACTGAATTCCAGGATGAAGATGATGTTGAGGAAGAAAGTTGTCGTGATTATCATCAAGTTTCCGGAAACCTTGTTCTGGACTATCTTCAAAAGTTGAGTTGTGTGACTGAGCTAAGCATTGGAAGTTGGTTAGCTGAGGTTTGTATTTTTGTCGAAAGATCTTATTCTTTATTTGATTTAGCAAAGAATTGCAAGGTGTAAGCTTGAGAAGGAGAAGAGCCTTTAGAATCTAATACAATTTTGAATTTTTGGATACTTGAGAATCTTAGTGAAAAAAGTTTTTTTGGTGAATAATTATAAGGCAATCTTTCTATGCTTGTAGAATGATCTTGTTTTCGTCTTTTGTGGCCTTTTATGATCTTCCTATCTCCTCTATGAAGTTGGATATTTCTTTACTGACAATAAATTGTTTTAGGAACTAGCATTTTGTACATTGTTATTTCTTTAGTGGCCTTTTATGATCTTCCTATCTACTCTTTGATGTTGCTTTCTCTATCCTTTACTAATTTCATTGGTATTATTTCTCCAGGTCGTGTTCATGTTGCAACTCGAAGGAGTGCCGCTTCCAGAATTGAGATGCAAATGTCTAACGCTAGAGATGGATGTGACAAAGTATAACTTGTATGGAGTAACTAGCCTTTTGCGGACCTCGCCTCTTTTGGAGACGCTGAACATACACTTGGGAGTTGGGGTCGGTATTTCTCTCAATTTATGCTCTTCTTTTTATATTCATTTTTACTTTTTAGCACTCCAAACCCCCAAAAAGAAAAAGGAAAGAATGAAAGTGTTTTTAAGGAGAATGCAAATAAGCATAGTTGCTTTTTATCTGGTAAACGGGCTCAAGAAAGGAAAAGGATTGGTGACTAACTGAACCTCTTCTAGCTTGGTTATGTAGTGCTTGAGCATTTCTCATAGATATTAGCTATTATAATTATTTGCTGAGAACTGTTCTAGATTCATGGGTTTTGAGAATTGCTCCTTTATCAGACATTACTACTATGAAATCATTTTATTTTATCTTATGTGAAATATTCCTACTAGGCTATAGATCTGCATTCGGTCCTGATTATATTCTTTGTTCCAGTTGACTGATTAGCACTGCGAACTTGAGCTAAGCTGTTTTGGCAAAGGAGATAATATCAATTTGCAGAGTTGGATTTCGAACATTGTGTTTTCCAATCTCAAGAATGTTAAGATCATCGGCTGCACAGGGGAGTGTTGGAACAAGTGTTCTGAACATAAGCTTTTCCAACTTTCAGAATTTCTACTAAAGAATGCAGTGGTTTTGAAGAAGTTTGTTATCATAGCAAAGAGTTGGAATTGTTCAGAGAGCTGTGTCTCCCAATATTTATCACAATCTGCTATGAAATTGTTAGACAGCCCAAGATCATCTAAGAATTTGGTGATTACTTACGAAGAGTGTGACTATACTGGAAGTGGTTTTGTAGTGGAATACTAGAAATGTTACCTTAGATTCTAGCTTTCGATTTACTGCAGAGTGCAGATATAATTTGAACTTGTGGCATACCAAATGTTGTGGATGCTTGGTTTCCACGAAGCCTTTGTTTGTTGCACTCTAAACATTGCATGTGTTTTTGGAATTTTCATTCGACTTTTTTCTGGAACTGTCAAAGATAGCAAACCTACAAGTCGCATATTTCCAGATAATTAGGCTCATGAAATACTGTATTTTGCTTCCTTTGTCGATAGCATCAAGATTTTATAACAGGAAGAAGGTTCTCTTTTTGGTATTTTGCTTGGAAAGAAGAGGTCCTATTGTTTTGTTTTATTGCGATAACCAAGAAATCTCCCAAGGATAGCGGCACATACTTTGAAACTCGACTAATAATTTATTATTTAAATACCAGGTTTTTGTCTACAACATATATCAAACTGGTGACGTGCTTATAATCTACACATCACCGGTTGTACTCTTACCGTTAGACCAAAGCCCTTGGTGTAGAAGGGGTCCTACTGTTTGTTTAAGCAAATAATTTATAGCCGCGGCCTTCCTTTTTTACTTGAGGTTTAAACTCATAATAAGACCGTTTGATTAGAGCTAATTGCTTGATTTCCCTGTAACATTAATTCCTCAGACAAATTCTGAGCGTTTGGAACAGCTTACTAGGGGTTGCCAAATTTTTTTGGAGCAACAACTTTTTTTGATAAATGCCATTTTTCTTATTATTATCATTCCCCTCCCCTTTGATTCCCTTTGATCCCCCTTTATTGAAGTTGTTGCTCTTTTGGTGACTCGAACCCACGACTCTGGAGTTGTAGGTGGAGGGTGCTGATCACATGAGCAACCACCTCTTGTCAATAAAATGCCATTTGAAAGAGTTCGAGTAGGGCTAAATAATACACTTCAATATATTCTTACTATAGATAGGCATAACATCTCTTCTATAGGTGTGACTTCAGTTTCTTTCTTTTCACCAGGAACAGTCAAGGAGCAAGTTTTTTTTCTAGAGTTCAGCAGCATTTGAAAATTTACCATATATAAGATATATTATCACCAGTTCACCACCATAGAACCTTAAAATTCCTCGAGCTAAGCCTCTATTGAGCATTTCTAGATCCCCAATTGGAACTTATACAAAACAAAAAAGGTTAAAAAGACAACTGGAAATCCGTCGAAATATGATAAATTTTCTAATAATGACTTCCATCAAGACCATGTCTATAAATCGAACAAACTTGGAGGCTGGAGATATTAACCCTCAATAGCTACATATCCATGCAATATTGTACAAGAATTTGAGCAACTAGAGCTAGTTTGCCATTTGGTTACTAGTTGGATGCAGCAATTTTAAAGATGACCTCCGGCTACCATATGACTGTACTTTGGTTAGATTTGATTTTTAGAAGAACTTCCCTCACCTGATGCAAGTTAAAGCTAATTTTCCATTTTCTTGTGATACTTGGATGATAACATTTGAGTGAAGATAGTCTCCATCTCTTGTTGCGGAAGTCAAATGTATATAGTGTGAATAAGTCACAATTACTATACCAAAAATTATGACAACCACCAAATAATAAATAAGACAATAAAACAATAATAAAAGGAACACAAAAATTTACTAGGTTCGGCCAACTTTGCCTACTCCTCGGACACAACCAATATTTTATTCCACTCCAAAAATAC